TCGTCCCCTTAGGCCTTCGTACCCTTGTCCGTCCGTCTGTCCTATGTCCTCGCTGATTTACTGGTGCGTTATTCTTATCCCTTTCACTGAATTGACGTACCTTCGGTCCGATCTCCGCACTTACATACAGAAAGTCTATCATAGGCTTTAGAATATATTTAGAGTTGATATGGTTACTCGGTTCGGTACCACGCTCGGAAGCGCGCCGCATAGCGTAATCTCCCTTCTTAAATAGAGGGAAAGTTCCTTTTAACTTACTTCCTTCCCTTCTCCCTTATCTGAGTATACTGCAAATTGTATAAGTGCACCTTAGTACTTGAAATCCGATTATACTTCACTATTCTACCATCGCTCGCGCATCTGTTATACTTGAACACTCTCCCCCATCGCTCAAAAGCACGCTTCCGTATACGCGCGTGCCCCTCACATCTTTCGCTCGCGCGCGCCCTTCACGCGCCTTCGCATTTGCTTACTCGCGCCTTCGCGCGCCTGTTACCACCCGTCTAGTTGGCGAAGACTCCCTCCATTACATTAAAGAGGAACTTCTCTCAGTAGCTGTCCTTTGGGTCGAGTCGTATTCTCGTATCCTGGTCTTACTGTAGAACCCCCGTTAGCTTTAGCGTTTCACCTATAGTCAAGATTCCTCACCTTCACCGGGTATCCAATGCATGACATAGCACCATTTATTGGTGAGAAGTGGATTAAGGCCTGTTGCGGTGGACGCAGCTCTTCAGCAATGGTCGGAAGCAAATGCTTTTGATAGTCTGTTGACGCAATCAAAGGTGGTGTGATTTATCTTGGATGCACCGCAACAGGCCTTAATCCACTTCTCACCCATAAATGGTGCTATGTCATGCATTGGATACCCGGACAGTCATACAGGATCTTCCAGAAGCAATGGTGGATCGGCCTTTCCCAACCATGCTCACAGTCCCAACCGTTGGCACAAGCCGAAGGCTGGAATAGGATGATCATTTGGGTCCCAACTGTCGTCGATGAGGACCTAGGTATCGGTTGGGTCTACATCTGGGCCATCCGCCTGTACCGGGTACAATAGCCTGCCCACTGGAGGGCATATAGGAATTTGAATTTCTGGATCTGTCCGTCCGTCCGGGTCTGGAACAAAGGTAGAGCTAGTATACAAGTCTAAGTTAAGATATGGTGCGTAGTACTAGGTAATGTAGGAGACAAACAAATCCAACAAGCTTGAACATAGTAGTGGTAAAGACATAAACAAGGTTTAAACACATAGGAAAGACAATTGAAAAGCCCTTCATTGCTGGCCCACCGGTCCCTTGTATTGACTATTACCCCAGTCGACAAACAATTCATTGTTATACTATATGATGTTGGCCCACCCGCCCATCTTGGCAAATTCACTCCATTCCCATAAACTACATAATGGCCCGCCCGTCACTACCGGTGATGACCGTCATGTCCCGCCCGCCCGCCCTATCTTATGGGCCCACCTTGGATGGCTCGACTTTACTTCCCGCCCCTTCCGCAACCCCCATCTATACTATAACTTAGCATTCCATCTCATTGACATTCCGTCAGAACACATTCATCCTTTCTGCACTGCCCATCCAGAGGCGTACGGATTGTCTTCCCCTTCCGGGATTTGGGCATTGTACAGGGGCTTCTCCCGGTTGTACCTTCTTTCTTTTTCACTCACAGAAATGCCCGAAGCCACATCTTCAGCATCCACGGGATCATGCCATGATCAGTCACAAGGATCCGATGGCCTGGTGATATCATGTGTTTCTCTAGAGCTAGTTAGTTCTATCCAAGTTATCTGCGATTCACCTGCATCCGGCTGTGAATCTTCATCTGTAAGGTTAAATGGTCCTACTAAGCTCTCCTCTGAGATATCAATGTCAGAAAATGATCCAGAATTCGCATATCCCGTGGCTGATGAAGCAGCTGTTGCTGCAATGTCATGTCCGTGGACCATGTCAAGGGCAATGATATCTTCAAGAATATATCCAAGGTAGGATGCACCTCCGCCAATTTATATCCTTCGTGGGAGTTCCTACTATGCCCAGATTTGAATATTCGCAGGCTGACTTACCGTTGAATCTTGGCATTACCGATGGCTTGGGTGGAATGCATGAGATCATAATGGCACTGATCCACGCCACCGAGCATTGTGACCATCCAATGCATTGAGCTGTATTCGAAGACTCGATCTGTGTTGGAACTGTTGGAGTCAGAAAAACAGTCATAGCTGCTATGACAATTAGGAAGCCTGTAAGAAGCATTTGTCACCAAGTCGCCGGAATCCAAACATGTGGTCTTAGTAAAACAAACATGTTTGCCTACCATGAATGTTTCGTTTGAAATAAGGAAGTCGGGGAAGGCTTACCACGCACAAAGCATGCTCCCATATTTGGACAACCCAGCCATGGCAACCGAATGTGTGGGATAACGATTGCCGAAGAAGTTGTATTACGTCATCATTATATTAACTTGACCACGCTGTAGGCTATCATCCCTCCCTCACACATCCCGACACAGAACCAGGACCCAGCATGTCGTCATCCACAGTCCCGCCGGAGCCGCGTTCAATGAACGGGACCGTCATGGAAACCTGTACGCCTCAACATCTTGTCGCATCAAAGGCCCTGCATCCCATTCAGTCGCTCCATGTCGTCCCTGAGGTGCAACTGAGGACATCTGAGTGGCTATCTCCTGTTGCACCAGTTGTGGAACCCATGATGTCTGGCGTCCGAAGCACCATAACCCCTATGGTCATACCAGGACCATCACCACCGGTTTCAATGCCTCCCGTGACTGTCGGACAAAACATGGGAAATATCAGAACGGTACGGCGGGCCTTCCCACCGACCGGTAACCCGCAGAAAATGAAAACGGAAACGGACAACAGCGAACCCCAACAGCGAACCCCAACCGCGCTGGATATCCTGGAAGCCGGTTCGGAAACGAGAGAGAGAGTTTGAGTCGGATGATGAGGAGACAAGTGCCACCAGTACCATTCATGTTAAGGTGACTTTGAGAACATTTATCTGTTTGTTGCTAATGTGCATTAATACAGCAGAGGGCGTTGTCGGTGAAGGCCAGCCATGCTGTCACTCGGACAGACATGCCCCCATCCGACTTTGTGGACGAGAGAGGTTTTTGGGATGCAGAAACCAGGGTAAGTCATCTATGTAGCTGGGGTTACTGTTGTGTGAACCCGGCAAATATGCCCTTACTTGGGTTTCTCCAGCCTGCCAGATGGGGTCTAGATGCCACAGTTGCTACTGTGGTAGAGGTAGGCAGACAATCACATTCGAGTAAATATGCCCTCACATATTCCAGCATTCCGTTCGCTACCATCCCCACAAATGTGACAAATGCATCAAAATGGATGTGCCATGCATTGTGTTGCCTGACAAGAAGTTCGGGTGTACAAGACTCGCTTGTGCAAACTGTGATGAGATGAAAATTACCTGCGCGATTGACGGCGCTGGTGTCTGGCAGAGGCTGCAAGCAAAGGCGCAGGGAGCTGCGATGAAAACCGGCGTGAACGCACCACTCAAACATTCCAGGACACGTGCACCCAAGTCACGTGCAGCCATCACAACACCTTTCGTATCCACTCCTGCAAAGACAACTAAACTTTCCAGACGTTTATCCTTGCTTGTCCTACAGAAAGTTGTGCCGGACAATCCACCGATTGGTAGGCGCATCCATTGTATCCTTCCGACTTGCTCACCAAGTATTTTGACGACATACTCAGAGGTTGAGCAAGGACCAATGAACTTGATGCCGGAGAAGGCGCCACCGAATATGCAGCCATTCAGATCTCTGCAACTCCCACCGGTCGACATGCCAGCACCAGTCCTACCATCCGTACCAGCCACCCCCTCAGAGCCTGAACCCACCACAAGAGCCATACTGCAAAGCATCCATGACCTTGGCAGGAGATTCGATCTCCTGGCAACCAATGAGCGGATGGATGCTTTGGATATGAGGGTAGATTCGGTAGAGCGGAGGATTAGCCTGAGGCTGACGACGCTGGAGGAACGGTTCACCGTATCTAATGTGCATCAGGAGTTGTTATCACAGTCGATCGGTAATCTGTCTATGTCCTCACGGGTGCACAGCAACAATCCGGGTGCACATCATCCTCGCGCCCATGGTAATGCGCATGTGAGCCCCTTCAGTGACAAATTCTGTATTATACAGGCCACCCGACCTACATAATATCCCATATGAGACGGGCCAGCAGATTATGGGCCCATGTTGTGTATATTCTCGATGATGACGGATGGGCTGGGACACATATTATTTCCGATGGAGACGGGTGGGCCCATGTATGCCAATTATATATATATCCTTGATGTTGACGGATGGGCCGGGGGAATATGATCATTCATGGAGATGGGTGGGCCCATCTGGGTAATATGTAGAGTAGGATATTATTGTTACAAGTAATATCGGTCACGTGGCCCCCCTATCATTTTCCCTTCATCCTCACCCTTACCCTCTACCGGCTCATCCTCCTTTACCGACTTTCCGTTGACCGGATCCTTGGGACCGTTCCCGTCCCTCGCATCGCCCGCCTCTATGCACGTGCACGCACGTTCCTCCCCTTGATTCGACCACCAATGTGGTCCCGCACCTATGACTCAGGTCTGACTCATGCCACCAATGTGGCTTTCCTCTTTCTGTTCCCTCTGACTGCGGATTCCCGCACGTTGTATTCTTACCGTTGGTTCGTTCCAACGTTTCTCGGTCTCATTCCATATTCGACCATCCATCACTAATCTGGCTATGTTGCCAACACACCTATACCATTCTTGTTTCCCCTTTACCCTTACCTACTGTGCGGTAGCCTTGCCCTTAACCCTCTCCACTTAGTATAAGTAGTCGGTCACCCTGTACTAGATTCTCTGACTTGAATCTACTCAATCTTCCCTGGAACATACTTCTCTCTGAACGCCCCTTTGGCTTCAGTCTCTAGTATCTTTTCTTAGTTGCTCATCGTGACTAAGTCTACCTCGATCGACCTCATCGTACGGACAAGACAGTCCTTACCTTGAGCGACTTCACAGACATCCGTCTACGAAGTCACGTGACACGCTGCGTACTGTGATCGCTGCCGACTCGTCGTCGCCAGTCTCACTTGCTATACCGGATCCTTCCGGTTACGTCACGAACGTTAGCGGACGACGCCCCTCTTAGGGCTCCGCCTAACAGATCTATTTGAGTGCGTAACAATTATAGACAGCTGGGCTGAAGAGAGATGTAAGGCAAATATTGTTATATAGATGGGCAGGCCGACGGGGGTGTATTACATATATGGGTGGGCCGAGGTAGGGGAATATTACATAGATGGGTGGGCTGACGTTGTCTTCTTAGATAGATGATCTATAGATAAACACCTACAAAATCAAAAATCTCCACGGTCAGTGATTCAGACAAATACCAATGACTGATAATGTGGTTGTTCGTGGGTGGCTGTTTACACTTCCCCAAGCTATGTTCAGACAAAAGTACTTCCTGTGAGGTCAGTAGCAATACCAGTCAATCCAACAGTATGGACGCAATAGAAAATAAAATAAACAGAATGTAGTCAGCCCAACGGTATGGTGATGACAAAAAGAAATTGATTCACTCCAACGGAATTTACTACAGAAAGTCGTGCGAAATTATAGCAATCACCCCCTCAGCACAAACAGGTAGAATCAAAGGTCAGGACTAATCAGTGATCAGTAGAACTCTTAGTTCACTATTGAACCTGCTGCCAAGGAACTCACGATGAGTATTAAACAGAATCAGGAACGGACGTCCTTGGATTTCAGTACCAAGTCCCCTATTCAACAACTAAAGTCTAGCAGACAAAGAAAACCCTGGCTCAGTATCACTACTCAGATGAGTGAGGTCAAGCGTCACTATCAACTTCTGAAGTCTTCCCACTAAGCCGGTGCTTAGATGGACGTAAAGACAACACAAAGATCTTGAAACAAATTCAGACAATAACACTGAGACGTGAACGAACTGAACAGAAAAAGAGACAAATGAAAAGAAACAAACAAACAAAGAAACAGAAAAAGAAAGAGAGAAAGAAGAAAGAAAAGAAAAGAAAGAGACTAGAGGTTCACCAGTAGAAAATCAAAGAAAAAGTTTGCTCACTGTTGAGCACAGTGAGCTCAAGATATTTCACAGTTGTTGATGATGAGCTAAAGGTATTGCTGGATGTTGCTTACAATGACCTCTCAGTTAGTTGCTTAACAGCTCTTGTCACTGTTGTTGATACTGATCACACTTCACACTCAAATTTATTTTGTGGGGCTTAAAAGTTCCCTATATGCATCCTTTTATTGGCAAAAAGTGGGGTCTTATATAGATAAATTATGGTGGCTGTGTTACTATTTCCCACGTTCTAAGGGGAATAGGCTTAGTCAGATTGTACCAATACTATTTACTGTAGTCATGTGCTTTATAATTTGTGTCATCAAGCTTTAGTCATCTCAAAAGGTTGCTTTGTCATGATTTGGTTTAGGGTCATAGGTCACCTGACTGTTAGAGTCATATAACTTAGTATCATGTGACAAATATTAAGTAACAGACTGATTATGTTATTTGTTGGTGTCTTGTTATGATGTTGCTTTATTGACCGTAGAAATGATGCGAGCCGTGTATTTAGAGTGTTAAGAAAGTTCCCACAAGGCAACTTATGCAAGAACTATTTTACACTGTTACTTGACATGTGTGGGATTCAGTCTGAGTCATTGTTATTGCTGACTAAGCAGAATTTTACCGCAAAATTAAATATACAAGAATATTCAGCCTATCTGAGTCTGTCTGAGAAATGAAAATACTATCTGAACTGCAGTCTGAACCATAAAGTAAAGGAAGATTGTTCATAATGATTTCTAGGGTATCAGGCTCGTGAGAGACCATTAGTCATCCATGCACCGAACCGGTTTGGTACAGGTCATCGTGGGGTGTATTACATATACAGGTGGGCCGACGTGGAAAGTATTACATATACGGGTAAGCCGACAAAAGGGATATCAAATAGACGGGTGGGCCGAGGGTGTGATAAAATATCTATTACATAGACAGGTGGGCCGAGGTGGGGTATAATTATATAGATGGGTGGGCCGATGTAGGATGTATTATATAGACAGGTGGGCCAACATAGGATGTATTACATAGACGGGTGGGCCAACATGGGGGATAATACATAGATGGGTGGGCTGATGTGGGGGAATTGTACATAGATGGGTACATATATGGGTGAGCCTAGATATGTTTCATCAAGACATACAGCTGATGTAGCCACCAGCAATCAAACACGTAGGATACATGTACACTATGAGTGCATATACCTACCATCGACCACCGAATCTAAACCCCTAAGCATGAAAACATGAATTGACCATGTGTGGCATTGACCAATAATCAAGGACTGAAGTGGAAAAACCCCACACCTGAACCCTGGTGTGCAACATATCCTATTTCTAAGCACGGACACCAGAAGCACAACACTCACAAAAATATAAATGTCAAATTTTCAGTGCAAAACCCCAAACCGAGATCTACCAACCCCCGAACCCCGAAATTGTGGACTGCTGGGGTTCGGGGGTCCCGGAACTCGGAACTGGGAAATTTGGGGAGATCAATAAAATTGATTTACAATTGAGTTGATTGACAAACACATTGACTTACCATGTTTGAAATATATTTTTGTTGTCTCACATACCGAGTTCCGAGTTCCGGGACCCCAACCCGAAACCCGGCAGTCCACAATTTTGGGGTTCGGGGGTTGGTAAAATGTGTATGGATAATAAAGGTTGATTTAAACATTTTTGAAAGATGTCTATATCAAATGTCAAGTCCCGAGTTTCGATTCCGGGTTTCGAGGCCTGTCCAAAACCGGATCCGAAACCCGAATCAAACTGGGACTTGACATTTGATATGACACATCTTTCAAAAATGTCTAAATCAACCTTTCATTTATCCATACACATTTTACCAACCCCCGAACCCCGAAATTGTGGACTGCCGGGTTTCGGGGTTCAGGGGTCCCAGAACTCGGAACTCAGTATGACACAACAAAAATATATGTCGGGGTTTGGGGGTTAGTAAAATGTTTATAGATATACGTAGGTTGATATAAACATGTCTGAAAAATGTCGTTAGTCTCAAATGGCAAATCCTGAGTTCCGGGTTCGAGACTCGCACCCAGCACCTGGCACTCAGGGTTCGGACTAAAAATTTGACATTGCGGAGTGTTAGGGTTTAGGGTGTATCTACCTCAATTTACAGTTTCGTCAGTGCTGATATCGGGACTGGTCATTAAATTATCAATTGTGGCATAGGTAACATGCATTGAAAAGATTTATGTACATCTATCACTGAGCAATTAGTAGCCATTTCACAACTCCTCACCAGGAAGATCAACCTTCCCCTCAACATCCAACTCCTCATCAGAAGAATCATATTCTGGCAGGAGGTTACCTGGTTCATTAGGGACCACAATATTGCTAGGAGGATTCTGCAAGAGGTTGCCTGGTTCATCCGGGAGCACAATTTAGCCGAGGATTGTGGACCCTCAGGCTGAACTTGGGTGGGCTCAACCATGAGACCTACCTAGCAGATCCATCCTCAACTGTCAAGGGTGTGGGTTGCATCACTGAAATGTCCAAATCAATGAGGTTGGAAAGTGCG